AATATGGTCAACATAGTTTAGATCAGAAAGCGGTCGAAAGTGTGGGCTTTTTAATGTTTATTTATTTCCTGCTTATTTCACATTATTATTGGGATGACTCACACGGAGTTTTAACGTAATTGTAAAAATTGTTCATCCAACTATAGATAAATAGAAAATGTCGATTCTAAAACTATTTATTATTTCATTTATTTATATACAAAAATTTTATGATCCTCTTTGTAACTTTATAAGAAATATGGCAATATGGACATAAAAACTTAAATTTCCGGTTCAAACTTTCGATCGATTTTCTGTATGAACATTAAAGAACATTTTTAAGACTTTACTATTCCCTCCTCTTGTTTTGAGGTAAAGTAACTAATTCCGTCGAAAAAAAAAGTATGTTTGTTCAGAAAAAGTACGCTTTTGTGCCAATTACGTAGCCTTATAAGTAGTCAGCATTTAATTATAAATTATTTTGATGCAGACTTTTAAGCCCTTGTGATGGGCACTTAATACAGGAAAATCAAATCATCAGTACAAGAGATATTAGCGGATCGTTTCCTAAATGGAATGTGCTAAATGGAAACGTACGTCGGCAGCACGTTTCCATTTAGCACATGTGACGTCATAAGAAATCAGGGATTGTTTTTGATTATATCACTTACGAAGGCCTTTTAAATGTTTAATAATTTAATAAATAAAAAATTGTGAAAAAAAAACAATCAAATTTTCGGATTCAGCAGAGAATTTTCAATAAGTTAGGATTGAAAATAAGAATTTCTAAGAGACGCTGTAACTGTCCATTATAAGTGTAGCCAAATTTTGCAAAAACTATAGGGGAGAGTGGAGTCAATTGTAACAGGGTACGATTGTAACAGAGCAAAACTTTCGAGTGTCGAGTTCCAGATTTGGTTCCTAGGTGGCGCACAAGGTGTTTTTAATAAATCTACATGCACACCCCTGCTGGCAACCATTTTTATGTACTTTTGAAAGAGTTACACCACAAAAGATATTTTCACGCTACGTAAGTACTTTTTTTGGTATTAGAATATTATATTGTAACAAAGTAATTTTGTTTAAAGAAATAAAAATTATTAACCGAATATGTAATTGGACACCTTAATTAACATTTCAACGAAAAGAAATATTAGCTTTGTTAATTAACTAGCATTGTTTTTAACAAATGAAGCTGAAATGGAGTCTTGGGGACGATTGTAACAATAAGTAAAGGGACGATTGTAACAGCTAAAAATAAATAATCTTATGTTTACAAACCATTACTTAATTCTTTGAGCGCTACCAATAGTTTCCTATATCATTTATATTATGTTGCATGTGCATTATTTTATCTGTCACCTTTCACAGCATAAATTAAAATTTTTAACCCCTTAAAGTTAAAAGTTTAACCCTTTAGGTCTCTGCTCATTATTATTTTTACTCCTAAAATATCACTACTATTTTGATCAATAAAAAATATATCACAACTATGATAATATGCATAATTAACTATGTTTTAGTTGAATTTATGAACTGTTACAATTGACCCCGTAAGTGGGAACAATTGTAACAAGTGCACGACTGTCAAAAATTGTTAATAACTAATATAATAACATTTAAAATAAGGTATTTATTTTTTTTTCTAGTAGAGGATAGTCTACTTTTCTCATCTGTCAATTAATACTAATAATATATTGGATTTTTTGCTAGTTAAAAATAGTTAAGTAAAAAATGTTACAATTGACCCCACTTTCCCCTACCGTTAATTTATTATTTGGATGAGAATTGAAGCTCCGTAATGTTGCATTTAAGTTTAGATAATTTTAGTTTCTAGAGAGGATTTAATTTTAAGTTGCATTGCATAATATCTAGTTTAGTTAATCTAGTTTTCAAAGAAGATACGAGTGGAAACTCTATAATGTTGTATTTAAGTTTAGTTAATTAAGTCTCTGGAGAAATTGCGAGTTGAAGCTTATGTAATTCAGTTAATTCTTCTAAATAGTTAATGCTTCTAAATAGAATGCATATTGATGCTGTATAATTGCTGTATAAATGCTGATGTTTAGTTAGGTTAGTCTCCAGAGAGCATGCGAATTGAAGTTCCATAATGTCGAAGTTTAGTATTCTAGGACAGTTAACGCAAGAATTGGCTATTTTCTCAAAACAATATTCAATTCAAAACTCCTACTACTCAACAAAATTTTTTATTGATAAGTTAATTTCAATAAAATGAAATGTTTCGCGTTAATTAATTGAAAAATCACAAAAAAATTATAAATTTAAAACTGCTCTTCAATTAATTTTACTCTAAAGCATTTTAACAAAATCAAAGCATGATAAGTTCTTTTTACCGAGATTTAATAATTTGATACAAAATAATGTTTTATTCCTAGGTCAAATAAACCAGGTCAGTTAAATCGAAGGAATTTGGTTCATATGGCTGGAAGCTCATGTCGCCAAGAAGAGCACTTTACCGATAGCTCATATCAACGAAGCGATTACTTCGCCGATAGCACATTTCTAACAAATATATATAGATATGTATTATAACCAATATAAAAACTAACTGGCGTATACTTTTTGTTGCTGCGCAGCATTGCATATCAAACAATATATCATTTTTCATAAACCGGTGGTTTGCGAACCCCAAAGCGTTCGCGAGTTGTATAGAGAGGATTTGCGAAAATGTGGTTGTAGTGACGTAAAAAAACTAATAACTAACGTAAAAAAATAAAGAAAATAAAAATTGTGTTTAAGACTGTAAAAATTGTATGTAGATTTGTAGCTAGTGGATCAGATTAAATATTTTTCTACGCGGCACCAAAACAATCTGAACAATTATTTTTAAATTATAAAATTCGTTATTAGTTTTTAAATATGATTTATAAATAATAAGAACTTTCTTTTTTCAAAGCAAAGACTAGATCATGTCAGCAAAGAAACGGAATGATCATGTCGGCGATGTGAGCTGTCGGTGAAGTGTTTGTCAGCGATATGAACACTGCTCTATTGAAGTAAAGAATTAAATAGCACAATAATATACTCTTATTGAACAAAAAACAATTATTTTTGGTAACAAGTGATTTCTAAATTATTCACTGCTTACAAATATCTAATTAAAAATTAATAATCATAACTTTTAGCAAAACCTCTTTGTCTTGATTTACAATTTCGCTAAAATAGAAAGGTATCAGATAAATTTTCATTTTCATTTACCCATGTAGAGCAATTTAGTCGTTTAAAAATACTTTATTTTTTTGTTGAAGAAATAATATTATAAAAAAAAATATGTATTGTGATACACGAAAATTTATTTCCATAACAAAATTAGAATTTATTCAATGATGTATTTATCACTTTTTGCATTCAAAACAGCATTTAAGAACTTTAATTTGGCAATTGAAACTAAAATTTATTTTAAAAAAAATTGCAAACTCTCGTTATAATTTGCAATTAAGATCAATGAATTTGAAATTAGCGTATGAGTAAATTTTATCAAATTGGAAGATTGAGTTTGAGAAAAGTTTCTAATTTTATTCCATCAACAATAATGATTTACCAAAAAATTCTGAAATTATAGGTTTAGAGAAGATACATTATCATATCAGCAATTAAATTAAGGAATTAATTTAAAAACTTCGTCTGTGTTTAACACCAGCACACCTGTTGGAAATCTAAATCTTTAGTAAAAGCTTTTAAATTGAACATTATATATGTTGATCACCTGTCTAAGTTAACCTCAATGAATTAATTCCAAACTGCTGAAACAATAAAACGTTCTCTTTACCAATTTAAATGGACCATTTAAATATTTTACCGTAAGTATTCAACGTACACAGGTTGCACTGCATATTCGAAATAAAACAGGAATCGCACGTTGAAATCTACGATTATATAAAATTGAAAATATCCGTTTATTTACTTTCAATTTCCGGAGTTTTTTTTTTATTTCCGTGATTTCATTAATTTTTTTTATTCAATTATATCATAGCATTAAGTCTTTCCTTAAAATTCTGTTGTCATCTTCGTGCAAAAAGATTTTCCGGAAAAAAATAAAAATCAGAAGCAATTTGTTATTGAAAAAATCTTTATTTTTTCGAGGAAACTTAAAAATTGAACCAACTGAACAATTACCATCGTTTCTTTACTAGGTTTCTGTATCAATTCTTTTTTCTTTCAGATACAGAAAATTTTTGTTCAAAATAGATGCTAAATGGCGAAAAAAAGGAGCAAATCTTTAACACTATTGCTTTCGTTTTATCAATTATTTGGAATTACTGTAATTACATGTTACTACACGGTGTTTCTTGAATTTCTAAATTAAACTATTCATTATACTAGACTTATAAAAGACCTTGGTTAGAATTAGAATTATTTCTTAGCTCTGATAAATTTTCAAAACGGAATGCTTTTTTTGTCGGATAGAAAAAAGTATGTATTCACTTCATTTTTAAAGCACGCACTTTTTCTCAATACACGAATTACTAAGACATTGTATGAATAGACAAAAAAGTTTTTCCATTTTTTTTAGTCACACATGTTTTTCTTCTCACAATACTTTTATTGCTAAGATTTTTTTAATTTTTATTATTATTAAAATTTATTTTTCCCCTGCACAGTACAGGGAGCTTATCCCAGTCAAACAACAACAGTATATTTAACCCCTTCCTTCTCGCTCCCATGAAAATGACGGGGTGAGGTTTCGCATTCTATTTCTCGCTCCCGTTATATTTCCGACTGGAGTGCTCAGTAGTAACGCGCCAATTAGAATAAAATTAATTCATTTCTTTTGCCTGGAAAACATTTTATTTCTCATTTTACACACCAGAAAGCAGTACCAGGATATTTTTTTAAATAATTGTAGATAGTTAGTTTATTTTAAACTAGATGTCAGCACCTATCAAATGGCCCTAATAAAAAAACAGGCACTTTTATGACCGTTTTCTTGAAATTTAACCGATTGTTAAGAGGTTAATCAATGATGCATTTTAGTGGCGAGAGTAATTGGTAAAGATAGAATGATATGTTTGCAGGTGAATACGACCTCGAAGTCTACATGGTCTACCGGCATGGATCACAAGATGGGTGGTTGGCCTATTGAAGTAGATCCCAGATATGAAGATCAAGTATGGAGATACAAAAAGAAAATATACAAGGAAGAAGATTTTATAAATTCCATCAGAAATATGGCTGATGTGAGATTAGTTTTATGTCTTTTTCCGGTAGATAATAATTTGTTAAAACTGTATATATATTTTTTGTACGCTTTGTTACCGGCAAATTTTGAAATTCGGCATTCTATAGAATGCCTAGGCATTGTATATAATGCCTAAAACTAGCCGGCAATGTATGAAATGATTTATATTTCACACATTTCCTAGGCATTCTATAGAATGCCAAATGAGAAACCAGCAAAGTATAAAATTTTCTGTGGCCATGCTAGTAAAGGTGATGAAATGGATATTTTGTGTAATATTTGTTTCTTAACTGAAAATAATTGTGACTTAGTAGTGAATATTTTATACGAAAATTTTGTTTCCCTTAATAGGAAAGGCATAAATTATGTCTTGTACAGCTTTCATTTTTCTTTACGCATTTTGAATAAATTTTTTTTAATGGCACTCTCATCATTTTTTCAGAATAACATTTTTATTTTTGAGAAATGAACATCATTTACATAATAACCTCATCAGAACGTTTTTTCATACTTTGCCTAAATAGCATTTGTCATTCTATATAATGCCTAAGTATTATATACAATACCTAGGGAAAGTATGTAATACTTCTCATATTTCATACCTTGCCTAAAAACATTCAGCATTATATACAATACCTAGGGAAAGTATGTAATACTTCTCATATTTCATATCTTGCCTAAAAACATTCAGCATTATCTACAATACCTAGGGAAAGTATGTAATACTTCTCATATTTCATACCTTGCCTAAAACATTCAGCATTATATACAATACCTAGGGAAAGTATGTAATACTTCTCATATTTCATACCTTGCCTAAAAACATTCAGCATTATATACAATACCTAGGGAAAGTATGTAATACTTCTCATATTTCATACCTTGCCTAAAAACATTCAGCATTATATACAATACCTAGGGAAAGTATGTAATACTTCTCATATTTCATACCTTGCCTAAAAACATTCAGCATTATATACAATACCTAGGGAAAGTATGTAATACTTCTCA